CCGTATGGTGGTCTTTTTAAAAGTTAAACCTCCTGCCACCATTACCTTTTCCGTCACTTGTTTGTTCTTGTCGTTGGTACACAGTCAGCCCTCTCATGGGAAGCCTTGTCCTTCGCCATGCCTCCGAACGGCCCTCATCCCCAGGCTTTGTTTTCACTTGAGCCACTGAACAAGCGGGCCAGAAGCGTTCTCGCGAATCGTCACAATACCCATCTCGTCTCGTCTTTCTGTCCCAACCCGAGCAACCCGAATGCTATGGTTCAGGGGCTAGAGATCGGTTTTCATACCAGTCCAACGTCAGGCTACATTCTTGCCACTATCGGTCGCAAAGGCGATATAAAAATCGTTAGCCCTGATATCTCTGACCCCCATTGCTCTTTCAAGCTTCATGGGCAAAACAACGAGGAGGTAATGCTCCAAGACCAATCGAAAGACAGCACGACCCAGCCTTTCGGGCCGGAAAAGAAGACCTTCAGTATAAGACACCCTCACCGCAGGGTCCTTATCGACCGGGAGATCAATCTACAGTTTGGCATTGGTGGAACGGCTTGCGATCTGTATGAATTCAAAATTCATTGGCACAAGGTTGAAGAGCACATGCTCCGTCAGTATATCGACAACAAAGTTGGCAATCCCTCCCATGCTCGCACCGTCGCGGACGAGCCGCCGACTTCCGTGTCATTTCATCCATTTCCCCCGATTAGATACTCGGAACGACAGAAGCTCGGAAGGGGAGCATTTGGAAGTGTTCGGAAGGTCGTCAACGTCGATACTGGCGAGTATCTGGCCATGAAACGAGTGGTGCGGCCTCTTGCTCAGGCCGCCTACGCTATGATGAGACGAGAAGTAGATTTGTTATCTCTCGTTTCCCATGTAAGAAAGCCCACGCGACATCTGTCTTATGGAACACCAGCTAAAAGCACCAGAGGAACATTATAGAACTCATAACGTCTCAAGAGACAAACGACGGGTATTTCGAAATCTTCATGCCAGTCAAAACCGGAAGTGTCCAATCCCTGATAATCAAGGAGGAACCCTTTACAACAGAACCAGCTTCGGCCCGCCCGCTCCTTCATCAGATGCTCCAGGCACTTGATTGCCTCGACAGCCATGACATCATTCATCGTGATGTCAAACCTGACAACATCCTCTACACTCCGCTACCAGATGGAAAATATCTATACCAGCTTGCGGATTTCGGCCTTGCAAACACTGTGGGCCTAGCTCGGACAGAGGCTGGATCCGATATGTACATGGCGCCCGAAATACGTCGGATGACAGGTCAGCCTCAGACGACCAAGATGGACATTTGGTCCCTCTTTGTTACTCTCGCATATGCCATGGATGCAGACGGCTTTCGGGAGAAGTTACAGGGTAAAGATTATTTGGAGAGACTCGGGGTAATCAGGGAAGTGGCCAACGGCATGCTTCGAGGGCTCCGAGACATGGCAATTGAGGAGCCCGACGATCGAGCGACAGCAGGAGACATGCTGGAAACCCTTTTCGATGGATAGGGTCGCACTACTTCCCAAAACTGAGCCCACTGAGAGGCAGGCCCGGGGGGGCTCCTTGCTTGGACCGGCGTCGCCGTTCACTCAGGGACCGTGTTTGACAGAGATTTGCTTGATGGAGTTGTTTTTGGGGAGGAGATGATGGGCAGATTGTACTTGGCGTGTCGTTGCAGAAGAGAAAATTAGAGTATTAAAATGGCTTGACAAACTGTCTACGGTGATGCTTGTTGACATATTGGCAAATGTTGCTAAACCACATATCAGCATGGTAAATAATAGCATCAGACAAAATAAACACATCACTCACTACACGAGGGAAGGCTAAGCAAACTTGATGAATATAAATACCCAGTGCCTTGCTCTTCTAATCCGCCTTCTCCTGGATCCTTGCAACATGTCTCAACTTTGTTCATCCTCCAGACCCCTTTGATGCATAGAGCGGATTCCGTCAGCTCGGTGACGATAATAATCATCCTTGAATATACCTTCACACAAACACCCTTTCGGTTATATACGAACATGTAGACCTCTCCTTATAGCGAGGTTCGAGAACTAGTCATTGACGACACAAGTCTCTCTTCTTTCTTTTGAACTTCCACACGGTACATCTTACCTATACCCTCACCATCTATCACCGGATATATAATGAACCTACCTTCACTGGAGAAGGTGGTGCAGCTAAGAAGGCAACTCACTGCTCCCCTTGAATCCCACGCGCAGGCCTTTCACGAGTGGGAATGCACAAGAGCATACTAGATCTACACAAATGAGTTCCAGTTCAACGCAAGAGCTCTAAGCAGCTCAGGTCTACGCAACCGTTTCTTTCTCTCAGGGGTCAATGGGAGCTGCCTGGTCGGTTCAAACATGGTATACTATATGAACTTTCTGAAGAATAGAAGGTCTTCAGAAGTTCCGCCACCAGCTCGCCACAGCATATTGCTGTGTACCAAACCCGGAAGCATTCTGGGAACGCATGGACCACTGTGTGTGGCCGCTCTGCTGGCATGATTACCTATACTAAACGACTGGCTCCGACCATATATAAAATCTGGATCTTTCAGTTCTTTTCAAGGATCCACTGTCACTTTGAACAGCTTTCCTCAAACTCGGAATGTCAATTTCATCCTTCCGGCGACCTCGCCCTACTAGAGTCCCGTGGGGCCATGAGCCTCTCCAGGCCTCCTTTGAGAAACAGCCGTCCACGTCAGTTGAACCTCACTTTAGAATTAGCGACAGCTCAAGTCACAGCTGTCTCCCTGGCCTTGTGGAAATTGATGAGATTGGGTTTCCCAGGCGTTGGAGAAACAACTTTCTGCTATCTATGCATATACTTCTCCCTCCCCGACACAGGCTCTCTTCATATATACATGGCGGTCAAGATGACCTCTTAATTGACCACAGACATCATTTTGGCCAGCGCTCAAGACGCTTCTTGCACCTGGCCTAGCCATATCCTGTACATTCTCTTGTACTATCTGTTATCAGATGGTGGAATTTTCATCAACCGCAGCCTATGACGAGCTCTAGCGTCTTCTGTCCGGCTCAAGAATACGTATATACCACCCCAAGAAGCGGTTACACTCGCCCGTGAGTCATTGAATCGCACCAATGGATTTGCCAATGACCCAGGCTGAGAAACTCTCGTGGTATTTCGCCTTGGCTTTCATGGCAAGGCTGTTCCAGAAACCACCATTGCGATACTATAGTAGCAGGGTTTTTTTTCAAGGCACTTCAACAAACTCTCAAGACCTAGAGGTTGAGGACCGATCCAAACTAGTCCGGTCTTCTCTTGTATATATACACCTACTGCCAAGATTGAATCAGACGACTGAAAAAGAACATGGTGTCTTGCCTCATTCTGCTGGCTATCCACATTATAGCACCAGGACTTTATACCCAGGGCTCCGCGTATTCGACTCCCGCTAGGAAACGAAAGTCGCCAGAGAAAAGAAGAACTTTCCTCGGTTCTGAGATAGATGTCAGTTTTCTATGAGGACCAAGTGACAAGGTTTTCATCATGCCCAAGTGTGAGGTGGCCGTGAAGACCTTCACTTCAGTATCCTAGGCTTCACAAGCTATCAATTTGTTACCTCTATATATACAAGTCATAGATCGGGTCTCTATCGGGGTCTCGGGCTAGGCAAGCTCTTTCTAGGTTGTCCCTCTAAAAAGGGTAGCATGTTGGGAGCAGGAACGTCACGGTATCTGCTTCTCCGAACAAACCATCCATGCCTATATTATCACCAACATGGAATTTTTGAGAACCCATGCCAACGCTCGGCTTTACCAACAAAGGCGGCAATGCATCGTTCCTCACTTCTCCCTCGCCCGCGTTTGTTGCCCGGTTACAAGGGGAAACAGAGCGGAACTCACCACTGTTCTCACATACTGTCCAACAGTCTATTTGGTGCGAACAATAATATATATACTCAGAAATAGCATGCGTAGAGCGTGTTGATGGTCAACAATAGCAGTGGGAGGATTTTTAAGATGGCCATATATAATCCTTAACAAGCAGCTGATGACACGGCATGCACACGAATCGCACCTACGAGACGCCGCAAATTGGCAAGATCAGTCGGCGACGTGGGGGCTGAGATATTGAACCATGAAGACCGCAAAACACACGGATGAGAGAACTGGGGTGGTCGCTCTTGATCAAGTCCCTAGCGCGGCTGCTGGCAATGCCTCAAAGACTTTCATATTCTCCCTTACTGTCGATGCCACCGACATGTACCGCATGGGGAGTTGAAACTCGTAAGCAAAAGCCAAGACAGACTGGGCAATCCCACCCACACCGATTCAAGCCGCCTGGAAGAGCCTGCTGCCTACACGGAGAGGGGGAGTGGTAACTCTTGAGTGACGGGACGAGGCCCAAAAGCAACATGTGGTCAGAAGATCCAGGGAAAGCTGGTATCTCGTCGATGGTTAATAGGCTTGCCGATGCCTTGGGGGTTGAGTGCATTGCTGAATACAGCGATGCTATTACCACAGAAACAATGATCACTCATCGCTCGGCGCAAGGCAAGTGATTTGTAACATTTCCCAGCTGCAACAGAAGTCACTGATATAAACGGGAAATCAATGTTGGTGGTGGCAGAGGAGCAAGTCAAAAGAAGCAACGCAGGTACAATCAATGTATGGATAAACAGTTAAAATAGTGTAGTTTTAACCCACTGTAGTACTCGTTAGCAATACAACTAGGCCCTCACCATAGAATCTACGATGAGAGTACAAGTTCATTTGTTCTTCCACGTTCCGCTGCTTCAGATCTCAAGAAAACAGCACCCAACCACCCTGCACCCCAACGTCATCCCGCCCCAACCTTAAGCCAGATAAGGTCGCACGTGCCGAGCCGTTCCAATGCAACACACACATAAAAAAAAAAGGTAATCAAAGCCTCAACACCACCACAAAGCATCACCAACAAATGATACGAAAGCGCAAAAAGAGCGCGAACAGATATATCTGATCGCTTGATGATGGTGATGCCCCGTACTGGAATCGAACCAGTGATCTTATCATGTCGTTGAATTACTAGTGATACGCTTTACCACTGAGCCAACGGGGCTTGAAGATCGGCTCATGAAATAATGGTTAAGAGGACGCGGAGTGTGCCATGGTGGATACCGGTTCTCAGACGTGGCGCCACATACCCTAGCACACTTTATCATCTTGAATCATGAAGGAACTATAGACGAAAGTGTAGCCCAGTTACCAAGTTGAATGTAAGAACAAAATAACCCTGAGAAGAATATAATTGCCGTAGTCAGTCTGCCAATGTTGACCCGGGTTCTCATCATGATTGATACCCTCAACTGCTGGATTGGTGCTCTTGTTCTATTGATTCTTAGATGGTAACAAGCCCCACAAAGTAGAAACCAACTCTCTATGTGAATAGGTTTTGTATATACACATCTAACCCAATTTCTACGTGGGATCCCTTGTATCTCTAGCAAATAGATGGAGGCGCAGGAAACAACAACACCCAGAAAGTACGCTCAAGCACAAAGCACAAACACGCCAAATCATGAGAGAAATAAAGTTCAATCAGGGCTCATAGCCAACAAAACGGTATATCCTTCAACTAAATCATTCTAACGACAGACATCGCTCACGTAACCTGTTCCAATCATCACGCTCATACACCATAACTCAGAAATGCTTCACATCATCAGCCACTTTAGGTGGTTGGTCCGTAACATGCTCCTCGTCGTAATTCTGGCTTCCAGTGTCGTAGCCAACTCGCAAGTCGTCAATCTCGTCGCCAACCTCCATCCAACGGCTGCTCGTCGCGGGGATCGGGAAGATCTTGCACAGGCTCCAGTACACGCTGAGCGAGATCAGGAAACCGCAGAAGTAGTTGACGTTGTAGATATAGGTAGCTCCCTTGGGCACGGTCTGGCCGACGGCACCGGCGAAACCGACAACATTGATCAGGATACCAGCAATGTAAGCGGCGTATCCGCGCCAATGAATACCGAAAGTGTAGTAGTAAGGTCCCTCCTTGCGACCATCGTAGAGTTCCTTGAGCTCGAGGTATCCCTTTCGCACGAGGTAGTAGTCGGATACCATGACTCCAGCGATGGAGCTAAGGAACACACTGTAGGCGGAAAGATAAGTGGTAAACTGGTTGCTGTCCTTGAGCAGTTGCCAAGGGCAGATAGCGAAACCAATGACAGCGCAGATGTATCCTCCGCGGCGAATATCGATCCATCGAGGAAGCAGAGCCGTCATGTCAGTACCAGCAGAGACGGAGTTGGCGGCGATGTTGGTACCAAGCTGTGCAAGGGTGAAAGCCATGGCGATGACAAAGACTCCAAAACGCTCAGCGGAGCTACCGTCGTCGATGAACTTGTCGAGCAGGTTAAGGGGATTCCAGATAGGCTCCTCGTACATGACGGAAGAGGCCGATGAGACGATGATTCCGATGAAGGAGGTGAGGGCGAAGCCGATCGGGATGGTGATGACCTGGGACCAGAGCGCATCTCTGGGCTTTCGGGCGAAACGAGAAAAGTCGCTACCGTTGACGATGAGGGTCGCGAAGTTGGCAATAGAGGACATGATGCCCTTAACAATCTGCCATGCCAACTCACTACCGTGAACCTTGTTAGAGGTCTTGATAATGGGACCAATGCCGCCAGCTTTAGAAATAGTCCAAGCAAGGAAAGCAATTCCAGCAACAGGGACCACATATGCCTTGACGGTGAAAAGATGGCGGATCTTGTGGACGGGGAACCAGATTGCTGGAAGAGAGCCGACCCAGAAGAGGAAAAAGGAGACGAAGTCAGCTGTGGTCGTTCCCGAGTCTTTGCTGAAAGTGTTGGGAATGTCTGCCCAGGACTTCCAGATGGAGCGGATCATGAGATAGACACAGTTGCCTCCAATGTAACTTTGGACTCCGTACCAAACGCAGGCTATTGGTGATATTAGTGACGAGTGGCGAAACAGAAACAAGATCGAGCATACCCATAGCGGCACGGTTCAGGACAGGCCACAAGCTTCCCCAGATACCAAAGGCAGCTCTGTTGGCGACAGGGAAACCAATGTGGTACATGGCACCGACACGAGCATTCATGGCGACAAAAATACCAGTGATGCTATAGCCGATCCAAACACACAGCCATGCCTGCCACCACGAGAGGCCAGCAACAATCATGGACGAAGAGATCATCCAGGTGTTGATGTTGAAGGAATCGGCGATCCAGAAGCCGACAAAGTTCCAGGCGCCCCATTGACGGCGTTCCTTCTCGACCGGTTTAAGATCGTGGTTGGTGAGCTGCATAAGAGTTCAGCACAGCTCTGTCTCATCAATTGAACCTATGTACGTCCCATAGGAACGCAAAGGTATAGAATATCTTCATACCATAAGCTGGGTGCTCGTCAAGCCGGGTTCAGACTCAACGGCGAGCCTGTCAGCCCAGGACTTGGAGCCACTTGCCATGACGCCAAAACGAGGTGGTGGAGGGATAAAACAGAGACGACGAGATTGGAAGCAGTCTAGAAGATGGTGCAGACGAAACTGCAGCGAAATGTTTCTAGAAAAAGCTTAAAACCACGACAAGAAGGGTCTGCCTTGGAGGAGGGGTGATGACGTGCAGGTGACACGAAAGATGGGTAGATTGGATGAGATCCAGTGTCACCAAGAAGAGAAGGATGTGAGTGTTTGCTTGTCAAAGAGCAAGGGTAACCAGTTGGAGGTTCTCCACTGTCTCAGTGTCTTTGAGGTCTCAATGTGGAGGGCACTGGCCGGTATTTATGGCTTGATGGTCGAGTGCCGCGGAGCAAGGGGAGACAAGACGGGACCCCATCTGATGGAGAAGGTTATCAGCCGCCGCTATCAGTCTGGCCATCCATCCCCAGACCAGACCTGGCCGTTGCAGATAGCTACCCGATGAACCGCGCGCTGGGACCATCGCCGGCGGCCACTGGGTGTGGATTGTCGAACGAAGGATGGTCGATCCCTCCGCATGGGAGACGCACCTATAGCGTTTTGGGTAAGTGGTCGTCAGCTCTTGAAAGGTAAAGTGGTTTTTGTGCCATGATGGCCATGAAGGAGCAGACAAACACCCATTGAAGGTTCACCAGAGCAGTCACTGAATAGCAAAGCCGAATCCGAGCCTATTGCCACCGGCACTCCAGGTCACTCCAAGAGACATGGTTTGGGACCGTGTAGTAGGTTGAAGAGATTGTAGCCACAACACGATGTGACCGGGGTCCCAAGTGTCGGGGTGGAGGAACCCCCACCAGGACATGCCCAGTGAGAACAGAGAATCATCATTGAGGCAAGGTTCAGCTCAGGTTGACAGTGTGATATCATGTCTCTCGATGTCTCCTCACAAACAGTAAAAGCGCCGAGAACGGGATGAAGTGCTGTAAAACCAAGGGCAGATTAATTGGAACAAACAAGCGTGGAAGCGCGGGTGTTTAGTGGCCGCCTGGATGACCTGCACATGCCCCAGGCCGCTATCAGAGCCGGACAGGCAAGAGCCATGCCGTGAGGGGCGGCTTCCCCGGTATGGCGTAAATGGAGATCTACGATTGGCCAGATTTGCTTCTTATCGGCGCAACGACACGGCTAAGATGCTGCAGCGTCGCACCTAAATAATCTTAGCCTCCCTGCGAAGAAAGGTATTACTCGATCTCATCGAGTCAACTCATCCATCTTATCCAAACTCTTGGAACCTGGAGGTGATGCCAGCATTTATCTGCATATCTATCGCTGGGGCTTGAAAGTCAATGTATCCCCTCGGATTTGTAAAAATCTAGGTAATTTTACTCAAGATCTTATTCCGGATTCTTTCCGAACATGGCCTCATGCCATCCATCTCTCCGGACCGGACCTGGACTTTGATAGCGTCTTGACATTCTGGCATTGGAAGCCCTTGGGTGACTTCTGCATGGCTTGAGATTCAACAGCCTCCTCAACAAGCCTCTTCAGGCTAATCAAGCCTCCATCGGATACCGAGATCGTTTCGCCGCAGGGTAGTATACATTAAACATATTTTTCTCAACTGAGCCACGTGCCAGCTCGTGAAGCAGAATTTTATTCAAAATTTGCTGCGAGCCCCATCAATACGTTACTTATCGTACCAGGCAAAGCAACCATGGCATCAGTGGTGCGTCTCGTCTTGCCGACTTCCTGGCCACCTCGCTCAATTGGGGACCGTCGACCAACCTCATACGACATGGCGCCCTCGCAATTGGAAGGCTACCATCCCTGGCGGAGAGGAGAAGACCCTTGTAAAAAGATCTGAGGGGGGACCAGTCTCGAATCCTTGGATGCTGTCAATGAGGGGACTCGAGATGTAATGGCAGAATCAACCGAGAACGCTCCGAGAACAACACTTGATCCTTCATGAAATAGATGGGTAGGTCATCCGAGTATTCTCAAGTGCTGCTATTCACACTAATAACTATGGAGTAGGCTCTTCAATTGTTGATGCATGCCCCATCCTTGTCGACCCCAAATGAATGCGATGCACGACCTTGCACCCTGAACCAACAGCCTGTCAGTCCCTGATCGTCGAGCATGAAGCGCGTTGTCTCTCGGACGGAAAAACTACACCCCGAAGCTAGCTCGGCAACTCGACCTTGACTTGGAATCTACGTGCGCTTCGGCTGCCAACTGCCGATGCGACGCTCTCCCGTTGCAGGTCACCACTCATTGCTTGGACTGTCCGGAGTCCGGTGTCGCAAAGAGATGGTTGTGAATCACAGGTTTGTCAAGTTATTATGATGTGATTCTTCAAATGATGTAAGCGAATTACGCAGCATTTCTTGTTGCTTGTCGTCGACGGGTCTGATTCGGTGCCAAGCTCTGTTGTGACACAGACACTCACCTTACCCATGCCGCCAAACGAAACCATTGCCATGGTTCATTTAGAATATGCTCTTCCAATCGACTAGTGTCGTCTTTTGAGGCCCGACTAGTGAGAGGCCAAGGAGGTGGTTCACCGTGGAAACAGAAAAATGAAAAAAAAGAAAAAACACGTGAAGGCGCAGCTGCCCCGCGATTCAAACGGAAGCAACTGCTGGGCAGCAACTGAGCAACCAAAGCGCGCCTGCCCA